ATACACTTGGTCTTACAAATTTCTTTTCTAGTAACTCTTCCAATTGCATCTTTAATTCTGACAATTTAGATGCAAACATCATGTATGGTGCCATAGAAACGGGTCTGGTACCAGGTACAAGATCAATAGCAAATTTGACTTCTCTCTCTGGTGGTACATCAGGAATTTCATCAGGGAAAATTTTAGGAAATTCACGTACCACTTGCAATTTCTCAATTATAGCTTGATTCTTGACAGATAGCGACGCCATCAACGAGAACATCTGAGCTTCATCTTGCATCAACTGCCTCAACTGTCTAGTAGACAACATACCAACTTCCTCTTCTTCAGGAGTAGAAAACCTCACCGACTTGTTATAACAGTTAATATGAACATATTTATGTTCTAACTGATTCATACCTAAGATCACATCTAACCCACTTAAAGGAAAACAAACTAAATTAACGGCAAAGTCTCTATCGAAGATCGACAATGGGAACTTTAAACACATAAAAGAAGTAGTCACTGATTCCTTGGCTGGAGTATCGATGACCATCTCTCCATTTAAAGAAGACAACATAAGACCCAATCTTTCATCACAATCAACAACAATAAAGAAATGAGTAGCACTGGTATCAATACTAGTAATTAAAGGAGTACTATTAATGAAACATGTATCTCTGATGAGTCTGTCCTCATTAGCCGTCTGATTCTCAGCCAAAGCAAACACTTTTCCACTGGTTTGCACCTTCTTTGGTTTCTGACACTGACTACCAATGTGTCCTTCTTCACCATAATTGAAGCAAATCATCTCTTTATGTTTGCACTCATATATAGCATGTCTAGTCTTACCACAACGGAAACACCTCTTCAACTCAGTAGTACACACATTACTCTTCTGACCAGGTCTTCCATATTTGAAACAAATCACAGCAGCAGGAGCATCTCCCCCACTAGTTCTCTGAACCTGAGCAACTTTCTGTTTACCTTTACCAGCAGGGGAATCGTAAGGCTTACTACGGTTCTGTTGGTGTTTACCCCTCTTCTCATTGATAATCTTATAGTGAGCATTATTATCTTCTTCATAGATCCTGCAATTATCAATCAAATCAGCAAAGACACAAATCTTCTGGTATCCAACTGCCTTTTTGATCTCTGGGTGCAACCCGTTCTCAAACTTGATGCACTTTGAAAACTCAACATTTGCCTCGATGTAGTGCGGGTTAAACTTAGCCAACTCAATAAACCTTGCAGCATATTCAGTAACCGACATACTCCCTTGCTTCAGCTCAAGAAACTCAATTTCCTTCTTACCACAAACGTCTTCAGGGAAATAATTCCTCAGAAATTCCCTACGGAACACAACCTAAGTGATATTTTCACCTGCAGCCTCCAATTTATGACAAGTCTCTAGCCACCAGTCATCAGTCTCGACTGCTAGCATATGAGTTCCATAACGAACCTTCTGCGTTGGAGTGCAATCTATCATACAAAAGATTCTCTCAATGTCTTTCAACCAATCCAACGCTCCGTCAAGATCATACTTACCCTTGAAGGTAGGCAGATTCTCCCTCTGGAAGGTCGCCAAACTATGAAATCCAACATTCCTGTCAATGTTCAGGTGATTCTCCATAGCATGCGCCATTGCTTCCAAAGCAGCAGCAAGTGCATCGTCATTCCTTCCAATCATCTTAACTTATCGCTACAACATAAACAACAATTAGAATTAAAGTTAACAATACTCTATTGTTATACAAAACTACGACTCGACAACTTGGTCGGACGGACCGACCTGCTCTAATACCACTAATGTAACACCCCATTTCTATCCAACAAATTATATAAAATCATAGTTACGAAACTTCCAACAAACAAATGAAATGCTACATTTTCAACTAGGAAACAACGACATTCAATCGCCTATAGTTCAGATACATAACACATAAAATTTGGAGAACCGATAATAATCTATTTAGTCTTTAAAAATAGAACAACTTTCATAATTAAGCAGCAGAATCATAATTTTCAACTCAAATGACATAACATTTTTGTCCAACTGAAAACAACTTCAAAACAATAAGTACTTAACGAAAACAACTTAAAATTCAACAACGGAAGTAAAATCAACAATAAGGCAACAAACGTTCACCCCCCCCCCCCCCCCGAGTGTTACGTATCAGAGCGACGACCCCGACTCAAACCACTGAAGGTAAACAACCTTCACTCTGGATTACCTGCACGTTACCAACACGGGGTAACATTTAAACAGAAGGGATGAGATATCGAACAATATAATAGAACACGTGATAAATAGTATATTAGAATCAGTTCATACAAAATCACCACTTCGCAGCTCTTTAACAACATTTAACACAATTAATTCATCCATACAACAACTCAGGATGCAACATGAAATGCGACTTGTTTTTATACACATATATGTGGTACCAACGGAGCAAAACTCTCAACTTAATAATCTACCAATTAATAGAGGCATCAACAAGACATAAGCCTTCAACTTTATATTTGTCAATCCAAGCCAACTTACCGAGCATGAGCTCTCAACTTGATATGTTATGTATGTGACAACAATATGAATGTAGTAACAACAACAACAATAATTCAACAACAACTCAACACAATTCAACATTGGACATAGGCCTACAACTTAATATATGCCAATAATTAGAGGCATCTCAACAAAATTCATCATCACCTGCAAATTCTAAAATTATAACAAGATATACAACACACCATATTAACCAAAATATACTACGACGTCCTGCGTAATTATTCGGATAATTCGACTATATATTGTCAGTCACTTATTAATGATATGATCTCTCCTGCTACTAACTTATTTTTACTATAATTCACTAATCTTACAGGGATAGAATACCTTAAGAATTCTAATTATTATACTGAGATTATTAAACTAAATTGAATAACTAATTGCTCTGCACAGGAGCGTTACAGGGTGAGAAATGAGTATGTGCCCTTCAATCGTGCACGTGAATAATAGTAGGGACATTAAAAACGATGTGTACTCCTCGACACAGTGACCATGTCGCTCGGTACCTTCCCTTCATGTCTCTGTACCAGCTGACACCCCATACTTCTCGGCACATCGTGCAGCCTGGTTCCGCTCTACACAACTACCTGTTCTCCTCGGTGCACCTTGCAGCCTTGTGCCGCTCGACACCTATCACCTGTGTTCCTCGGCACACCTTGCAGTCATATGCCGCTCGACTCAAATACCTGTGCTCCTCGACACGACGCGTCTTCACGTTTTTGCGCATAATTCATCTAGTCTGTGACGAATATTAACCTAGCCTTACAATATTCTCTTCGACCATTAATTTCCGACCAACCACACGGAAAAACATAACAACGGGACAACTATATCTCCTATTAACAGATTCATCAATTGTATAAGACGATCATCCATAAGATTTCTAAACGACCACAACGTAAACACAGACAACTTTCAAGAACATACCCAGAACAATCAACGCACATCAATTATACCCACAACCAACCCCTATACAATATTCATCATTAGTCTCATTATAAGGTCAGAACCCCACCCTTATATTTGATTGAAGGTTGCTCGACACACTCTGACCGGAACCTTGCTTTGCTCTTCTCCTTATTCCTTTCTCTGCACTTCTTACGACCAATTTTCCAACAACTTCTCAATTAACTCTATTCTTTTGTTTAAATAGAACCTCACATTATCATTATTCTTAATGGGCTCAACGACACACCTCCTGTAATACTACTTCCAACCATTAAAATAGGTCCAACATAATTATTCTATTATTCTACTAATTCTAATATTATTACTACTGATAATCAACTAATTAATCAACTAAATAACAACTTAGCAATAAAAACAACGTCTCATACAATTCAACAAATAATTTAATTAAATAATTAATTAAATAACAGGCGTCACAGAAAGCACAAATCAAATTCTTAAAAACTCTCTTCCATTCAAGCAATAGAGTATTCGTTCAAGGAGTATATACTAGGGGGTGTCAGGCAAGAGATAAAACGTATAGTGGAACTCTTAAAAGACGAAAACATGGGGCAGCGGAAGCAGAGAATTTAAGAATCTATTAGGCCCTAGAGAGACAGTGAAACAATCTGTTGCAATCAGAAGAAGTGATATGGAGACATAGGAGCAGGGAAGTGAGGCTCAGGGATGATGATTGCAACACTAGGTTCTTTCACAGCAAAGCGGACCAACTTTGGAAAACGAACTTTACCAGTAGCTTAAAGATGAAAGTGGAGTTTGGTGGAGAGGAGGCGATCATTGCGAGAGAATCCTATTTATTCATTTGTCATATTTATTCTCCTTCTCTTCCCCTACAAATATTGCCCAGGTGTGTAATGATGTCCACAAAAGCTTAATAATGAGCAAAAGCATTGGTGTGTAACAACTTATATTGTCTATGAGGTGGAAGATGCTCTTTTTCAAATGCACCCCTTAAAGGCCCCCGAAACGGAAGTGCTGCTAGCTTTGTTGTATAACTTCTAAGGAATAAAAATACATATCAATCACATTCTAACCAACCTTTTGACTGCCTCTAACTCTGTTTGGAGAATCTCTTTATGGGATGCAAAACATCAGGCAACAAAGCAAACGAGAATCAGAGGAAGTGTAGTTTTGGTAGCCAGTATGCACAAACATTGTCTTGTTTTGGAAGTCTTGAATATGTCAATTGCCTACCATCTATGAGAGCTAGGGAATCCAATTAGCAGATGAGTCCAAGGGGTAACATTTTTATAACTTGTATTTCAAGCAATCTCCAACCCTTTAAATATAACCAAAAAAAATCATTCACTATGTAAGTTTCTGGTAATTATTCCAAAGTCAGAGCATAAAATCTAATTAAGAAACCAAACAAAATATAACAAAATACAGTCTGGCTAGCTTGATGTTGCTTTATCACTTCACGTATCGCAGAACAACGAAAAGGTGATTCTTCCCGTAGAATGTAGTGATCGTACATATACTATAAATGACTATGTGTTTCTTGATAATAACTCCGCTTCCTTGTGGGGGTGATGTGAGGGTACAGTCCGGATACATGTTCTGCCATCAAGTCGTGCCTTGTCAGGATCCCTACAATTGGAGGTCTCTGCACAAAAAGTATTAGTAATTTATAGTTAGTAGTCACTCCAAGTAGCAAACATTTATGATTGCAATAAAAGGGTTATTTGCTTACTCCAGGTATCTTTGGGACGACCAACAAGTGCCTGAGGCCAAGCTCACGGAAGAGAATAGAAGCTTTAGCTAGAGATGTTGTTTCCAACACCGTATAGGTTGACCTGTTGGTAATATGATGCAGATCAACATACATTTCCGTCTCCTCCTCTGATATATCTAACTCATCCAGGTTTATCCCCTTCCCTGCACCTGGCTTTCCAAAATCATGTGAGTTCAACCTTTTCAAAATGGAGGACGACCCCCTTTGGCTCTTGGTAAATACCTTGTGTTTAAGAACCACCAGCAGATGATACCTCAATACCAATCCACACAACTCTGGTTCATCTGAGAACGGAGGCTCGTCAATCACAGGAAAGCCGTTATGTCGCGTCACCTTCAAAGTGTGCAGAATATTCCCCACTTTTTCAACCCCAGAGAACGTAAATAGCGGACTAGAAACCACATCACCCGCAGCTAACTGCCTCATGTAAGGTTCTGCGTGCGCTTCTAAATAAGGCAGCCCCTTCATTTCCACTATCTGATCATAAACACCTTTGTTAAAACAATCTGCCACGGACTTTGAGATCAGGAGTACCAACATGACCAATGGTAGCATGAGGAGGTTGTTAGTGAGTTCAAGAAGTATGACACAGAGAGAAACTGTCATTCTCATTGTGCCACCAAGGAAGGATGCAGCTCCCAATAGTGCAAACAAACCAACATCCAGAACTGTGAATGGACTTAATAAACTTCCTGCAACACGGCCATAAGACGCCCCTGCAAGAATCACTGGAATAAACAGCCCCGAGGGAATTGCAATTCCATATGTGATGATTCCGAGGAAGTAGATAGCCACAAAGAATATTAGGAGACTGGAGAGCAGGAATCTTTTGTCAGTGCCAGCAATAAAGAGGTTGCGGATAGCATCATCATTGGTGGTAAAAAAGAGAGAGGCCAGGTCATTGTAGTGATTAGGAGGACACTGGAAATTCTTGTAGTGTCCGGAACGCCCTACGGTTGGGCACTGATCCCCTGCTTGAGGAGGACAAGGGATGCACTTCGATAGCCACGGGACACCAAATGAACAGCAAGAGGTCAAAAACGATATAATCATCACGAGTATTACTTTAAATATAGGCCCTCTCCTGCAATACAATACAATACAATATCAGAAAATAATTCATTGGAAAAGGGATAATGGAGATATAGGATGACATACTCATTAATGATGCTGTAGGTGCGAAGGACCTTATCGACGAGATAATTGTAAAGGCTTCCCAGAAGACCTCCAACAACTCCAAGAAATATAACTACAAGTAGATCAGGTATACTGTATGACGGCTTTGCATAATTAACCTCAAACATGATCAAACCTCCTTCTCCAAAAAGACCACAGTTTCCACCCTTGCAATATTCCGTGAAACATTTCAGCACTACAGCTACTACAGCTGTAGTGAAAAATGTTCGCCACAGAAGAGCACTCCTCCACCTGAAAATACACACCCAGATAAACATAACAAGACCAAAGACAGACAGCATGAAAGTGCAAGACAGTAGAGAAAGAGAGGGGACCAAGAAGCTGCTTCTTCAAGTGCAAAAAGGACACCACCAACCGGGGCACGGAAGGCACCAGCAACACCAGCAGCCGCACCACATGTGATCAAATCCCTTCGGTCCCTGTCGTTTTTAAATTGTTTGAACCCTTTCCAGGTCAGTCCATATTTTGTAGACCCACCTTGTCCAAGTAAATTACCTATGCAAGCACCGGTATGCACCATAGGTCCTTCCTTACCCACAACAAAACCAGCTGCAACTCCCAGAATTGAACCAAAAATCTGAAAAATTCAAGCCATTTTGGTATTATAAGATTCCAAATCAGAAACTAAAGCATTCCAAGATCATATACTAGGAAGTTATGGATAGGTAGTAGTAAAACGGATGAGACACATAAATTGTAACCTTTACAAAGAGGGTTCTTGTAGCCAATATAGAAGGAGCATCAACGCCGTTGAGATATGCCTTGACCTCAGGAATGCCAGATCCTGCTGCTGCAGGGGCAATGTAGGCACAGAGGGCAGCTGCAGCGATGGCTAAAATCATGTTACAACCAGCAAACACTGCAAAAGCTTGACGAAACCTGCTCTGCAGTAAAAATGGTAGCGCAGTTATTCCATCCATGATACTAAAAAGGGAGGAAACATACATGAAATAAATTGACTATACATACTTTTGATTAAGCATGAGATCGTTGGTGAGATTAAGCTTGACACCGGCAATATTCTCAACTCCAATGTTACTGAAAAATGCAGTAAGGCCCGTGCCTAATCCAATAAGAAGTGCAAAGGTCCATTTGAGGTAGACATACTGTACTATCTCGGATTTTGCTCTAGACCTCCAGTCTTGTTTGAATATGTCATTCTCAATGATCCTGGACACAATGTTATGTAAATTAAAAAGAAAAAAAAAACATATAGATAATAAATGAATTGAAGAGGAAAGTACTCACTCATAGTCGAGACTTTCGATGGGACAAACATTGGCTCCAACAATAGCATGTTGAGAAGTGGTATTGAGTCTGCTATTCTTGACAAGGAGAGGCTCTCGTATACCAGATCCAGATCCTGCTGTTGTTGTTGATGATGATCTCGATGATATTAGAATGCCTACTCTATCTTCCTCGTTCCCCATATTCTCGACATCCATTTCGTGATCCATAGTATTCACCTTTGAATTCTTGTGTCATATGCAGATTATGCAGATGCAACTATGACCATCATGATTATGTATGAGTTGAGAAAGAAAGAATGGTGTGTTATATTGTGAGCGAAGAATGCGCTGGTTCTCACGTATTTATACATACTTATTTTGGTTACAACTTAGTAGTAGGAGTAGGAGTAGATTTTAATAATAATGAAAAATAGGAATCAACGGATATGATTAATAAAGCTTTGTTTGTTATTTTCGGAAAGGTTAACATTATCTATTGTGTCACTCTTTGCTTGTCTTCCTGTCTCAACAATGTCTCCACCAATACGCTCCAACTAATTACTTTATCCGATTATTCTTATAAATACTAACTAATAATTTTATACTATTGATTAAAATAAGCATGTTCGTTGTTTTTTTAAAATAAGCTTGTCTTCCTTTCTATCACTATTATATATATAAAATGAAATAGGGTGTAAAAGAATCAGAAAAAATGGATTAAATCGATAATTTAAACTAAATTAAAATAAAATGAAAGACTAATACTTTTTGTTTGGTTCAAAAATCAAATCAAAATGATGAAAATCAATATGATTTAATTCTGTTTTCAATTTTTGTTTTTAAAAACCGTCAAACTGATGAATCAAATTGATGGATATAATTGTCCTTCTTTGTATTTTGAGTTCTCTTGACTAACGTGTAAAAAATACTTATCTTAGTTAATTTTTCATTACAAGAATAATGTGATTCAGCTTGGGGCAAATGGCTAGGGGTTAAGTCTCTAGCTAAATTTAACATTAGCTTGGGGTTATCCCCTGGCTAAATAATATACAAAAAAAAAAAATATTTGGAGCTCTCCGTAGCTAAATTTTAGGAGGGAGTTTGAAAATAAATCCGTTGGCCATTTGCAAGGGAGTGGCACGTGGGTAAAAGAAAAACCATTTAGCGAGGGGCTAGTACCTCGCCAATAAAAATAGTCGTTGGCCATTTGCGAGGGGCCATCACCTCGCCAACAAATAAGTTGTTTTGCGAGGGGCTGTCCCCAAGCTCATTTTCACATCACTGCTACGCCTGAACCAGCTTGCGTGTGGCAGAGAAACAACATTTAGTGTCATCTAGCGAGGAGCTAGCCCCAAGCTAATTATGGTACCGTTTGACACTTAGCGAGGGGCTAACCCCAAGAAATTATTACACCGTTTGCACTCTATATCTTCCTCTTTCTCTTCCATTTGTTTCATAAACCAGCAAAATTACCAGCAAAATTTCAGATTCTCTCTTCTCTGCAACTCTCATCCTCCTCCTTTCCTTCATTTTTTTTCCTCCATCAACAAGCTTTGTTTAATAAAGCTTCAAGGTATGTATTTTATTTTATTTTTTTATTGAAATTTTTCTGAATTATATGTTATATTTAGTTAAATTAAATTAGTTTAGATATGTTGTACCCCAAAATTTTCCCTCTCCTTTTATCAACATTTCTCATCACAAGGCTCTTGGAACTCAAGATCAAAATAGGGTTTGCTCTGCTCAAGACACCTCCTTGCACTGTTGACCTAAATTAGGGTTTGAGTTTACACAGTGATTTTTTGACTTACAATGCCCAAAGTGACTTTCATACTTCATATTGGACTCATAAGTGTGTCCATACCAAATTTCAAGCCTTGAATCAACCCAATCAGTTGGACAGTTGGCCTAGAAATCAACTGTATTAGGGAAAAAAGTCATCTGTGACTAATTTACAGTCAAACCTCATGAATTTTGATCCACATCAATATTATGAACTCATATGAACCATTTGATCAAGTTTGGACCACAATTCCACAAGAAATTTGATCAGATCACCAAAGGGGCAAAATGGTCATTTTTAGGGTTTTGATTGTACAAAGGCAATTTTTGACTGTTTGACCTAGCCAATGGCAAATCAAGCTCAACCATGGACTCAAGGAATCAATGAAATCATCTTGACCTATTCAACAAGTTCAAAAGATCTCAAATGCATGGGATTGACAGATGAATTTTTCAGTCAATTGATCAAAATATGTCTGTACACTGAAAAGTCAAACTTTTACTTTTTGGTCAAAATCAAGTGCCAAGGGTCATTTTTCATCAAGATGTGTCAAATTATGAAACTTGTTCACCAAGAAATCCAAAATTTGCAAATTAGGGTTTAAAATTGAAAATTTTCATAACTTAGAATTTTTTCTAAGTTATGAAATTTTCTTAATTTTTCCTAACTTTGTCCCACATTTTCACCAAGATGAAAATGGATTCAAACAAAACTTACAACATGAAAGTTGTATTCTTCCACAAAGTCTACAACTTTTATTCACAAAGTTTTCTCAAAAGAAGCTTAGATCTCAAGTTATGATTTTTGGAACAAGGGACCCTAAAACTTTTAACTTAGAGAAATTTTGCCCTAGTTTAGGCAGGATTTTGACCCATCTTCTTGGCCATTTTTCACATAGTTCCACTTGGATTCTAAAGTTGCATTTCAAAGATGGATTATAGAGCATGTTGCAAGCTTTCCAAATTGTCCAAGAACTCCTCAAACACATTTGTGGTTATGGAGAATCGAATGCTTGAAGTGGAAAAAACTCACTTTGTATCCATGGCAAATTCATGTTCACTCAAGTGGAATTTTCAAACCAGCATGCTTTGTACTAGTTTGCAGGCCTTTAAACCATTTTACACTCCTTAATTGAATTCAAATCCACTGAGCTAATGCATTATCTTGGCCATTTGGACATTGCACACAAAACTAATCCCTAAATGGTAAAAGGCACATTTCCATTTTTGAAAAGGTATACTTTATGTCAAACCATGATCTTTGAAGCATAGGGCCAAGATCTCAGAAGCCAAATCAAATCCACAAATTCCAGCAACCAAGAGGATTGTATGCAACACATTATATGGCTTGTACAGGCTTGTAATACCAACATCACATCTTTGCTTCAAAAACAAGAAATTGTCCAAACACTTGCCAACTTGAAAACCAACCCATGCTAGCTTAAACAAACATTGCAAACAACTTTCACACAACCCTTGGAGCAAGAAACACAAGAACTTGAGCCTCAAAACCTCCCATATCCATAAATCACTCTTCTTTGGCAAAACAGGGCAAGTGCTGCAACTTGAGTGTCATAGCTCATTTGACTCGTGCGTTTTGCTCCTTTTTGCTTCAAACACCTTCCATTCAACTCACTCAAGTTATCTCAAACCTCCATTGCCAACTGTAACTCCATTTGCAGTGTTCACCATTTTCATTTCAAGCTTATGCAGGTTCAGTTCTAGAGGCTGATTCAGGGACTTTCAAGGCAAGCTAGCTATTGGAAAAGATCAAGTGAAGTTCAGGCAAGCTACCAGACACCTCAAAACTTGTTGAGAAGAACTGCATTGCCCTACTCGAATCCAACTGAAACAGGTTTTTCATCACTTTCTATCTCTCTATTTAGGAACATTTAGCATTAGGTTTGTGAATGAAAAATGTAGTATTCAATGCCATGAAGCCATACATATGCTCAGTTTTCATTTATATTAAGTGTGCTAGGAGAATTTCATCCATGAACATGCTGAAAAAACTAGGTCAGATTTTAGGGCCAGAGAAATTCTCTCTGGTCTTTGAGAGTTAGGACTAGCTACTTATATGGTTAGAATCGTATTGAAATTCTCTACAAGTTTTGTGTTATGTGTTTTTGCAATGGAGCTCGTATGCAAGATATCCATTTTGAACCAGGCGCGCGCGCGTTGTATAAAGTCTGGAGGAAGAAGATGAAGTCTTAGGCTGGGCTTGGTCTGGCTTGCTTCTAACACCCCTCTTTTCAGTTTCACACCCCCTGGCCCAATTTCTTATATTTTTGCATTTTTGAATTTTTGTTTTCTTTTATGACTTTGTTATTTTATTTCCAAATATAATAAATGCCCAAAAAATATTTTCAGAATTTTTTTAATTTATTTGGTATTTTATTCTAATTTTTCCAAACATTAAAAGTATTTAAATATTCTTTTATATTATTGAGACTTGAAAAATATTTACAATTTTATACTCTTATTTTTGTTCTTCACTTTTATTTATATTAAAAATATTTTCTTGAATATATTTTATTTTTGTACATATTTTATTTTATTTTGTACATATCTAATTTGATTAATATACACATAATAAACATATATACTTTTATTTTATTAAATACTTAGAATAAAAATACAAAAATATTACATTTTTATCTTTATTATTATTTATCCTAAAAAAAATACCTTTTTTAAGTATATTTTATTTTTGTACATATTAACATATTTTTATTGTATATAAATAATATAATATATTATTTTCTTAAAGAAATTAGGGTTTACCCCTAAACCAATAAAATTAATCTTTTTTATTCATTTCTTTATACTTTTTTTTACATAGAAAATACTTTTACATACATAGGTAAACAAAAACCTTTTTGCATAATTCATATTTATTTGATATTTATTTATGTTGTTTATTTAAATAATTGTCCAATTAAATATTGAAATTCAATTGGGATGTAATAGTAAATTAGGGTTTATATTTTTGTCAATACCCCCATTCAAAATTGTACCCCCATCCCCATAATCATATTGTAATAGCTTAGAACTTTAAATTCTCGCATTTTACGCTTTCAATTATGCCATAATTGGAGAATTAGGGTTTGTATGCAAAATCAAAATCAACAAATAGTTTGACCTAATCAAAGACAAAAATGCATGAAAATCAAACACAATGCACACTTCCACCCCTAGGGTTACAATCCACTTGTTGCCTTCAAAAATGGGCCATGGTATGCATGTTGGGTACTTTGGCAAAACAAAAACAAAACAAAAGATCATAGTCCCTCGATGACGCTATCTTGGTTGCCTAAACAAAAATGATCAAGTCCCTCAAGAAATTGCCAAAGATACTTGACACAATTGCTATCATGGTCTATACGATGACCCGTGCCTGTCCCGTTTAACATCCTAACACAAGGTTGTTCACCAAATGCAATGGT